ATGAGTGGGAAGTCAGCGGGAATTAGTATTGAAAAAGCAGATGCACAGTCAAAACAAAACAAAAAAACCCACCAGACACTAAGAGGACAAAGAACATGCACATTTTGCGGATCTCTCTAATCTGGCCCTCAGAATGAACTGAGAACACAATTACACAATAAATACCAGTTTGTCCTAAACAAAGGAGATGTAGCAAAAGTTCTTCTAACAAACATTTAGGGTACATGTTTGGAGGAAAGTTTTAATCCATATTCTGTGAGATTTGCTGTGTCAAATGTGTTGAATATATTTCCACATAAAAGGGAACATAAGTGATTGCAGGAATTTTTAGTATGTGTAACGAACATAGTAAAATGGATAGAAAAAAAAATGAGCAAGTGACTGGTTACCTACACATCTAGTCTTTAACAAAACAAGCTCCAAAAGGAAAGTTTCTAATCCAAAACAATTTACAGAGAAGCCAGATCTGCAAGTCCACATTGTCATTTATAGAGATACAAGCACACTAAGACATGGAAGGAGCATATCAGTGAAGAATTTTTCTAGCTCAAACTAAACAAACATTTCCAGGACTGCACTGCTTAGTGTGCAATTCTAGAACAGCTCGAGTGCAAAAAAGTATCTATTTCATTAAAGGATGGATTGACTGATAATTTATGGTATTTCATGATATTCAGTTACAGATTTAGCCATCCAATATATTTTACTGGTGACTTGATTCTAATAATTTAAATGCTTACCCAGCTAACTTCGCTATGTAAACACACTTGAGTGCTGCATGGAAATTCAGTTTGGAAGTTGAAAGTAACTGTTGAGGCTGTTGGAACAAGAGTAAGAATAAGCAAAACCAAAGAACCCATTCAGAAACATATCCTGAGACGTTTGTCACCAGGACTTTACATACCATCTAAGAACAATGATGAAGAAAAATAAATAATTTATGCCATAGTCCAGCATACTCAAAACATACAAGCAGTAATGGGTACTGTACCATTTCTTGCAGGATATTAACAACAATACTTAAGGCTTCTAAAATATGCTGTTACACACTGCTCTTCACAACAGCACTGCTGCATTTACTTCCCAACCCCTATAACAGCTGTAATACTTCTCAATTTCAGCAGTCACTCACTTTAGCCTTTACAAATGCTTAGTGATAACACTGTGTTTTCATTCTCACATCACAAAATGTGAAGTTTCCCACTAAAATGCAATTTAAAATGGCTATTAAAAATGTTAGATATTGTTTAATTGAATAATCATGTAACCACACCAAATCTTATCAGTTACACAATTGTTCGTTGGTCCTCAGGGGTGGGGCCAGCGATGTCCAGGAAGCTTTGGCAAGGTCTATCACTAAAGGCTCTTAAGCAAAATAAGGTGTCATGGGATAAGAGGGAAGAGCCTCTCATAGGTCAATAACTGATTAAAAGATAGAAAACAAAAATATAGGAATAATCTGTCAGTTTCCAGAATGGAAACAGGTAAATAGTGGCTTCCCCCAGAGGTCTCTAGTATGGCTAGTACTATTCAACTTATTCATAAATGGAAGGCCGCTGGGGGAGGGAGAGGGCAGGTGGCTTTGCAGAGCCGGCATGTGCAGAGAGACAGCTTAAGAAAGCCAGCTCCCTACGTGTATTGGTTCCTGCCTCTGACCAAAAAAAAGGAAGAATCTCAGAAGGGGCAGGCAGCACTGTGAGAGCCAATACATACGGGAAGCTCTCTTAAAAGTAGGCTCCCCGCTTCACCCTCTGTAATGCTGCCTCTATCAGTACGACACCCTTTTAGACACCTGAAAACTTCTAGCATGTCCCCTCTCAGTCTTTTCCTTTCCAAATTAAACAAGCCCAGTTCTTTCTTCCTTCCCAGGTCATGTTCTCTAGACCTTTAATTATTTTTGTTGCTCTTCTCTGGACCTTCTCCAATTTATCCAAATCTTTTTTGAAATGTGGTGCTCAGAACTGGACACAATACTCCAACTGAGGCCTAATGAGCACAGAAGGATGACTTCTCATTTCTTGCTCACAAAACTTCCATTAATGCATCCCAGAAGCATGTTTGTTTTTTTTGCAACAGCATCACATTGATGACTCATTTTGCTTGTGGTCCACTATGACCCCTAGATACTTTTCTGCAGTACTCCTTCATAGACAGTCGCTTCCCATTCTGTATGCATGGCATGAATTGTTCCTTCCTGAGTACTTTGCAATTGTCCTTATTAAACTTCATCCTATTTACTTATCTCAAACCATTTCTCTAGTTTGTCCAGATCATTTTGAATTATGACCCTATCCTCCAAAGCACTTGCAACCCCTCTCAGCTTGGTATTATCTGCAAACTTAGTAAGCATTCTCTCTATGCCAATATCTAAATCATTGATGAAGATATCGAACAGAACCGGTCCCAAAACAGACCTCTGCGGAACCCTGCTTGTTATGCCCTTCCAGCAGGGACTGTGAACCATTAATAACTACTCTCTGAGAATGGTTATCCAGCCAGTTATGCACCCACTTTATAGTAGCCCCATCTAAGTTGTATTTGCCTAGTTTATTGATAAGAAGATCGTGTGAAACCGTATCAAATGTCTTACTAAAGTCTAGGTATACCATGTCCACCGCTTCTCCCTTATCTACAAGACTCATTAACCTGTCAAAGAAAGCTATCAGATTGGTTTGACATGATTTGTTCTTTACAACTCCATGCTGGCTGTTACCTATCACCTTATCTTCCAGATGTTTGCAGATTAATTCCTTAATTACTTTTGCTGCATTATCTTTCCTGGTGCAAAAGTTAGACTAACTGGTCTGTTGTTTCCTGGGTTGTTCTTATTTCCCTTTTTATAGATGGGCACTATATTTGCCCTTTTCCAGTTTTCTGGAATCTCTCTGGTCTTCCATGATTTTTCAAAGATCATAGCTAAAGGCTCAGATACCTTCTCTATCAACTCCTTTCTGTAACTGGGAGCAAAAGGGAAAAAATACACAGCTCCTCTGCCCTCCCCAACCAGAGTGAAACTTCACTTTCCTCTCCCTCCTTGACAGTGAGAGGAAGGAGAACAGCAAGCAGAATCCTAGTAGGAATTTTGGTGGGGTAGGGGTTCAGCCATCTCTAAATATTTCTGGGGGTATTGGGGCAGTCTCAGACAAGGGCACGGATGCACCCCCTGCCAGCCTCACACCTGCCTGGCTGCCAGGAGCTGGGCTGGAAGCATGTTGCACTGCCTCCTGCAGCCCAGCCAACTGGATCCTTCTTGCCAGAGAGGCACACCGTAGCTTTTCAGCTTACTTTTACCTATGGCGGGTCTCCTACTTAATTGGCTACGAATGGCCAGTACTTCTCTCTAGCAGCCCCAACAGGCACTACTACTCTGTAGAAAGTTCAAGAACTCTCTCATATGCAGAGGACTAGAACTCTCTCATATCCAGAGGAGCATCCCATAAATACATATGGAAGACACATCCAAGAAAAATTCTTCTAGTTTGGGGTTTTATTACAAACTGAGTTCAGGCCAAGTTCACAAAACTTTGCATGTCTTTCAACAAGACTAGTCCAAACTATAGTTTTCATCTGCATTTACTATGTGTTTTAGGGTCTCATTTGAGAATGTTTTTACAGAACTACAAGTAAAGGCCAAAGGTTTCCAGAAGCTGTAACTGGATGACAGGGGACACATCTCTCAAATCATCCTGTTCTGTTCATTCCCTCTGAAGCATATAGCACCAACTACTATTGAAGACAAGATACTGAGCTACATAGACTACTGGACAACTGAGATGCTAAGTGGTCACTTAAGTATGATAAGGTCATTGCAGAGGACAAAAATTCTTAGCATCAGTCTTCACAGCTGAGGTGGACAAAGATTCCCAACCCTGAAAATTCTGAATCAACTCAAATGTGAAGTCACAGAGTTTACAAACCAGTGTTAGTAATTATCATTTAAATTGGTTTTTGTACCAAATGACTGCAGGACAGATAATCTAACACCAATTTTTTTCTAGAAGAGCTACAGAGGTGATCCCAGCAACTTTCTTAGGGACCGGTGAAAGTGACATCAGTACCAGCCTATCCGGTTAAAACTGTAGTGAAGAACAGAACTGGCAGATACATGAACACCGTACGCGAGGGAAAGTTAACATGTTTTCCTAAAGGAAAATCATGCCTCACCAATCTTCTGACCTCCCCAAAAATTCTAGTAGAATGTGGTCAAGGGAAATCCAGTGTATACTGTATACTTTGATGTCCAGGAAGCTTTGGCAAGGTCTATCACTAAAGGCTCTTAAGCAAAATAAGGTGTCATGGGATAAGAGGGAAGAGCCTCTCATAGGTCAATAACTGATTAAAAGATAGAAAACAAAAATATAGGAATAATCTGTCAGTTTCCAGAATGGAAACAGGTAAATAGTGGCTTCCCCCAGAGGTCTCTAGTATGGCTAGTACTATTCAACTTATTCATAAATGATCTGGACGAAGGAATAAACTATGAGATAGCAAAGTTTTCAAAGGATACAAAACTACTCAATATAGTCAAGTCCAAAGCAGATTATGAAGCGTTACAAAGGGATCTCACAACATTGGATGACTGGGCAACAAATGGAAGATGAAATTCAACCCTGATAAACACAAAGTAATGAATATATTGAAAATATAATCCCAATTATACATATAAGTAGCTGTAATCTTCCTTGAATGATATCTGTGACTCACTTTGACCAGCTCTCTGAAAACATCGACTCATGTGCAGCTACATTAAAAAAAAAAAAAAAAAGCAGCAAAGAGGATATTGAGCATCCTTTGGAAAGGGGGAAATACAGAAGACACAACATACTATAATGCCTCTCTATAAATCCACTGTATGCACACATCTAATTCTGCATGGAAATGTACTCAAGATATACTGAAATAAGGTTCAGAAAAGAGCAACAAGAACGATTAGGAACAGCTTCTGTGTGAGGAAAGAGTAATATGACTAGGACTTCTCAGCTTGGAAAAGAGATGAGTAACCGGTGGTCATACAGAAATATGACTGGTGTGGAAAGTGTTATTTACTCCTCATAACACAAGAACTAGGGGCCACCAAATAACATGAGGCAACAGGTTTAAAATTTTGAAAAAGTAAGTATTTCGTCACACAACGTAGTCAACATGTGAGACTCTTTGCCAGATGTAGTGAAGGCCAAAACTATAACTACTGGGCTAGATGCACCTTTAGTCTACAGGCAGTCCCCGGGTTACGTACAAGATAGGGACTGTAGGTTTGTTCTTAAGTTGAATTTGTACGCAAGTCGGAACTGGCGTCCAGATTCAGCCGCTGCTGAAACTGACCAGCAGCTGACTACAGGAAGCCTGAGGCAGAGTATCTCTGCCCAGGGCTTCCTGGAATCAG